GGAGCTTCATCCAGGACTCCCAAGTAGGTACAGGGCTCAAACCCTTGGGTCATCTGCTGCTGCTTTTCCCAGACCATTAGCAGGGAGCTGATAGGAAGTGGAGCAGCTGGGACATGAACCAGCCCCTGTGTGGGATGCCGGAGTCCCGTAATGCTAGCCCCTAAGCTAGCTTCCTAAGCCTCACCTCTGCTCAGCCGCTTCCAACAAACTGCAGCGATCCTTTCCTTACTCCTTGGTGAGGTGTGATACTGCGCTGTCGTTACCCCAGGGCAGAGAGACCTCAGCCGATGGTAGAGATTATCTCAGGCAGTTCTTGTGGGTTGGGATCCAGAAGTAGCTGCCCCTGAGTGAGTCTCCTGGATCTGCCTGGGTGGCCTGTTTCCGTGCCCAGCCAGTTAGTGGGGTTGGTAGACCTCCGTTCTCAGCACACAGCTTCGTGAGCATGCTCCCCCGATGACAGCTTGCTTTACTCCACGAGGAGGGATCCAAGAGGCAGCTAGGCAGAAGCCGCCAGGTCTTCTGTGAGCTAGCCTGAGTCGCACTGTGTCCTTGCTGCACTGTCCTAGTGTTTGTACAGCAGTACCCTGTTCATTGTGGGACAGAGAACATGCCAAGGGGGGAGAGTCTCCAGGGCTGGAAATACCAGGAGGTATTTTGGGGCTGTCTTGGAAGCTGGCTGTCACAGCTGTTCATCATCTCTCTTTGTCATTTGTCATTTTCCTGTTTTTAAATATCCCTGTGGAATTAGAGTGGCCATTATATGTATATAACTTGCCATAGATCTAACAAGCACCTAGAGTCCAAATTGCCAAAACAATTTGATCATAAATTTCATTTTGATTTATTTATTAGAATGTACTCATCTGAGAATTTCTGTTAATACAGGAGTCATTTATGAGATTCTTAAATAAATTCAGAATAATTTCATTTGGGAAAGTTTCGAATTAGAGTGGAGTAGCTGTTAAAGCAAAAATTACAGATCTGAGCAAATATTTCCTTGACAACATATATATAATAGATGTATTCTAAATCTATTCAGTTTCCTTAGTTTACCTCATTAAGCACAAGTAATTGTGCCTCACAAGAGTCTATTTTTTTCTCCCACTGGATTTAACTATTCTGATATTTAGAAGTTCATTGCTAGGAATTTTTCCCCTGTAGGAAAAAATGTTCCATTCTTCTTGTGCTCTTTGAATTGAGCTTGTGTTCCAAGACTGACCAACAGTAATTTAATGCATTGCAGACTATTTTTGTTTTTGAAAGTTAGAGGGAAATACCACTGCAGTTTTAGTAATTAAAGGAACCAAAGAATCATAGTCTTACGTAGAAAGAATTAACTTAAATTGGTGCTTAAGGAAAACTTACATAATTTGGCAGAAGGTTTACAAATTTAGGAAAATTCTCAAAGAGACCTCTAGGTTTCATTTTATTAGTTTGTTTTAAATATACACACATGCGGCATACACATATACCTCCATGTATACAAATCAGTCAAACCCTATTCTCAAACCCTGTTCTTACCCTCATTGGCCTTCAAACTATTTTTTTTTTTTAAATTTTGGTTTTGATTTAAAGGTTTTTGTTGGAAGGGATTTGTTGGGTAGTCCTAAAATGGAATGGAGAAAAGAAAAAAGTAACGGATGGTTTGGGTTAATTCTTAGAAGAGACAGAAGACACATTGGAAAGTAGAAGGGAACGAGAAAATATGCTGGATTTAAAATAATTTTAAATTTTCATGAAGTAATTGTTGCACTGTTTTTCCAAGGAAAGAGTAGTAAAATAGAAAATTGATGATCAGTTGACGCTTGGGAGATCTAAATGTAGAGTGAGTAATGTATGAACAAGCACGTTTCACAAATACAATCTGTTGAGTGAGACTACAGATGATATTGTTAGTTAGTTCGTGATAAATTATAGTTGCACACAAGTCAGTAATGTGTTTTAAAATTTGTATGATATTTGATAAGATTTAACAAAGTATTTCTTTTTCTTGGAGGTGATCTTCTGAGGGTCATACGCTGCTGCAAATAAATATTTAAAGATTCTATATAGTTAACAGTTGTATATTTTTCTTTTTGAGGATCACAGAACGAGTGAGTGAGCCAGTGAGCTACCATCTGCTGATTCACTCCCTGAATGCCCATGATGTGGTGTGGCTCTCAATGGGGGCCAGAGCTGGGAGCCAGGAATGTAATCCAGGTCGACCATGTAGGTAGCAGGAGCTGCTGCCTGAGCCATCACTGCTGTCTCCCAGGGTCTGCATTAGCAGGAAGTTGAGTCAGGTGTGAAACTGGGTTTGAAGGGCTGGCGCCCTGGTGCACTAGGCTAATCCTCTGGCTGCGGCTCTGGCATCCCATATGGACACCGGTTCTAGTCCCGGTTGCTCCTCTTCCAGTCCAGCTCACTGCTGTGGCCCGGGAAGGCAGTGGAGGATGGCCCAAGTCCTTGAGCCCTGCACCCGCATGGGAGACCAGGAGGAAGCACCTGGCCTCCTGGCTTCGGATTGGCGCAGCACCAGCCGTAGCGGCCATTTGGGAAGTGAATCAACAGAAGAAAGACCTTTCTCTCTGTCTGTCTCTCACTGTCTCTAATTCTGCCTGTCAAATAAATAAATTAAAATCTAAAACAAACAAACTGGGTTTGAGTTTCAGGTAATCTGATGGGATGTAGGTGTCTAAACCACTGGACCCAGTACCCACTCGTCCATTCTTTTTTTTTTTTTTTTTTTTGACAGGCAGAGTTAGACAGTGAGAGAGAGAGAGAAAGGTCCTCCTTCCGTTGGTTCACCCCTCAAATGGCCGCCACAGCCGGCGCTGCGCCGATTCAAAGCCAGGAGCCAGGTGCTTCCTCCTGGTCTACCATGCCAGTGCAGAGCCCAAGGACCTGGGCCATCCTCCACTGCCTTCCCGGGCCATAGCAGAGAGCTGGACTGGAGGAGGAGCAACCGGGACAGAATCCAGCACCCCTACCGGGACTAGAACCCTGGGGTGCAGTCGCCGCAGGCGGAGGATTAGCCTATTGAGCCGTGGCGCTGACCTCGTCCATTCTTTTTAAAGTAAGATGAAATCACACCATCTGTGCATTGGGAAGAGTTTCCATTCACGAGTCTTAAAATGGAAACTTGGTTAAGTGCCCTCTGGAAACCCTTAGTGACTGATTGATTTTAGGATACCTCTTTTCTCTAAAGTTCCAAGATCCTTTCTGGGTCTTTGATTTTGGAAAAATAATGTATCTAAATGTAATAAAAATAATGTATCTAAATGTAATAATTTCTAAAAATGTTGTCATTTTTATATGAAGATGACAAGCCTTTTAAATTTGTCTTTAAAAAATTGTTTGAAAGGCAGAGAAACAGAGGCGGAGGGAGACAGAGACAGACAGCCCTTCCAAACCTGCAGATTCATCCCCAGGTGCTCACAACAACAGAGGCTGGGCCAGGCTGAAGCTAAGACGTGGGAACCCAGTTCAGATTTCCCACGTGGGTGGCAAGAACCCAACTATTTGAGCCTTCAGTTGCTGTCTTCTAGGGTATTACATTAGCAAGAAGTTCGAATTGGGTGTGAAGCTGGGAATGGAACCCAGACACTCTGAAATGGAATATAGGTGTCCCAAGAGGGGGGTTGACTTTTTTTTTTTTAAAGACTTGTTTTATTTACTTAAAAGATAGAGTTACTGGGAAGGAGGGAAGAAGAGAAAGAGAGAGATCAGTTCACTGGTTCACTCCCTAAATGGCTACAACAGCCAGGGCTGGACCAAGCTGAAGCTGGGAGATCTGGGTCTCTACATGGGTGCACTTGGGCCATCCTCCTCTGCTTTCCCAGGCACGGTGGCAGGAACTGGGTCACAAGTGGAGCAGCCAGGACTCAAACCGGCCCCCACATGGGATGCCAGCACTGTAACACCTTAACCCACTGTGCCACAGTGCTAGCTTCAGCGGATGACTTACTTAGATACTGGTAAGAGTCTCGAATTCCAAGTTTCTAGCTAGAATAGATTATTTGTGTGGAGGAGGGGGAGGACAGAACACTAGAAATGAAAAGGCAGGTAGAGCAACATTAATATCTCTAAACTGTTGAAACAAACCACAGACCAAAAATGTCCTATTCATGGTCCAAAAATAATGTAACAGCAAAACGAGGAAATTTTGGAAATGCAAGGAATACCAGCCATGCATCTTAAATACCAAAGAACATACAGGTTGAGTATTCCTGATTCAGAGATCTGATATCCAAGATGCACTAAGGTCACAACTTCCCGAGTGCAGACAGGACAGGACAGGTGGAAAATTCCACACCTGATCACACGGACAGGTGGGAGTCAGAACACAGGAACGGGAGAAATACTGTGTGTGTAAGGAAGCATAAATGAGCTTCATGGTTAGACTTGGGTCCTAGCCCCTAAACACTTCATTGTGTTTGTGCATTTATTCCAAAATCTGAAAGAAATCCAGTAGCTGAAACATGTCTGGTCCCAAGTATTTCTGATAAAGATATTCAACCTGTATTTGGAAATATTCAAGCAAGTGAAAATGACGCATATCATAATTCTAAAGCAGAAATAATAAATGAGTATAGGACACAAATGCAGTTTTACAGGAACCGTGTGCAGTGTTCTAATTGTCTACGTGGGTGGAGCCAGTCAAAATCTCTTCTGCCTTTTTGTATTTCTGCTTCACCATGGTCCCAGACCATGCCTGGCACTTTGCTGTCAGCTCAGGAGGATACCTGTGGGAGGGAGACGAGGATGAGCTGCCTCTAACATTGGACGTGCAGACTGCCTTCAGAGTGCTGTGTTTCTTACAGGTGGATTTGTAACATCATGGGGCAGGGCTCCGAAGGCAGGTACCACAAGCCAAGCAGAGAAGGGATTCATTGCATGACCCAGCAGCCCCCGAAGCTCCACTGATTGGCTGGAAAGTGCGAAGTGCGCAACCTGTGCTTCAGTGACAGCACTGTACCTTCACTTACAAGTAAACTGCTTTTTCTTCTCTTCGAAAACAGGTTATATATTTGGGGAGAACTCCGGAAGAAGCATATAGAATATTAATCTTTGGAGATACGTCGTATATCCCTTTCAGGTAAATAGAGAAGTGATGTGGTAGGTTGATCTCATCAGATCCTCACCAGAACCGTTTCAGCAGTTGTTGTGGGGTGAGATGGGGGGAGTTGTTTTAAGGAATGTGTGACTGATGCTATAGATCTAATCTTGATTTCTCAGCAGCAGCTTTATCTTATCTTGTCTTGAAGGGTATTGAGCACCATCCCTGGCCTCTGCCCACTAGTGCAAGTTGTCAAAACCCAGAATATCTCCAAAAAATACCCAGTGTACCTGGAAGTGGTGTTGGGGTGGAGGGAGCGAAATCTGCCCTGGTTGAGAGCCACTGATTGAAAGCTAAGCTTTGTATTCATCTGAGAATCCTGGAGTTACAGGACTTGGACTACCACCCAGGAGTTAGTTTTTCTCCAATAACCTGGAGTTGCCTTCTGGGGCGAGAACCCTTTCTCCCAGGGAGACAACCAGCAGAGGGGATAGTGAGGCTGCTGTAGTGCAGCACCACTGCCGGAAAGCCCGTCCAGCAGCTGTGCAGGGAGGTGGAGGGCGCTGACGCCCTTACACACACAGATGCCACCTCGTCTCACTCTCAGCCGTGGGCTTGTGTGGGAGTTGTTTTGAAAGAAGATATTCTCCCTTGTCAATCAGGCTTAGCCCTAAAAATTTCTCTGCTTGTTTATCAAAATACTTAGCTGTATAGTCTACATACTTTATGGTAATTAGTGGGTAGCAGATGGGTGAAATAACTTTACTTGTTGCATCATTTTATTTTATTGATATTTGCAAACACTGCCTTGTTCGTCACTCACAAATTAGTTATTGTTGAGAATCCCTTACTCAAAATGCTGAGAATCAGAAGTGGGTTTCTCTTTTCTTTTTTTTTCAGATTTGAGAGTATCTGTATAGACTGTACCATTTGAACATTGCTCAATTCAAGGCCTGATTAGGGACACTACACCCATAGTTGTTCTGGGATTGCTATATGGATCTCTTAAGGCCTGAGTTTGCAGGTGTGGCTTTGCTGTCACAAAGACTTGGTTATGAACCTGGCTTTGTCACAGGGGAGCTTTGAGATGTGTCCCCCACATCATGAACTAGAGAAAATATAGCATTGAAGGTTATGTTAATGATTCAGCAAATTAGAAAAAGTGACTTGAAATCGGCATCTCCCCTTTTGTTTTAAAGGTTTATTCATTTATTGGAAAGGTAGAGTGACAGGAATCTTCCATGCACTGGTTCACTCTCCAAATACCCACAGTTGCTGAGGCTGGGCCACCTTCCCCTGCTTTCCCAGGCACATTAGCTGGGAGCTGAATCAGAAACGGAGCAGGACATGCTCAGGTGCTCATGGGACACTAGTATTGCAGGCAGCAGTTTAACCTGCTGTGCCACAGTGCCAGCCCCAGATAGTCCTCCTAATTTCCTCCTGGGTTAGGCCATTTGGGGAGTGAAGCAGCAGATGGAAGACCTCTCTCTGTCTCTACCTCTCTCTGTCTGTCCTTCTCTGCCTTTCAAATAAGATAAGTAAATCTTTTTTAAAAATTACTGAAATTTTTCATGAGAAATGAATAGTTACTTTTGATCCCAGTTCTCTGAAACTTTTAAGCAAGACTTAAAATTCTCAGACACTTGATTCCTCTTAAGAGCAGTGTTTCTGTAACTGTGGCCTGTGAACTGGTCCCAGTCTCTCTAGCTTTTGTCGCCAACCTGTGACGGATTAAATGCAGACATTGAGACTAGATTTTAGAGATATTTATAGTAATTTAATATAGTAATTGTATGTCTGGAGTCAAATAATAGAAGATACGCATTTGTATTTCATGTCCCCCTTTCCATTCCTTCTGTAATTTATTTTTCTTTATCAAACTAGGATTATTGCATTATTTTGAGTATGTAACAATATTATTGTATTTCATATTTGCTGTATTTTACTGGTATCAGTCTATGATGAACTTAAGTTTTAAAATTTGGTGCTTCATCTCATTTTACTGTTTTGTAGCATTTACTAATTGGAAAGTACACCAACCCGAATTTAAGAAGCCTGATAAAACTATATATTTTTAAATCCTTGCTACTTCTTTTGTATAAAATAAATATAACAAAGTATTGCTAACACAACATTCATTTGCAGTAAATCATGTTTTTATGTTCAATAGCAGTGTTTCATTGGGCTTAATCCAACATGGGTAAAATTCTTCAACCACTGAGTTTTAAGAATGTGTGTGTGTGTGATTTATTTATCTGCTTTCTGTTTCCTTGAGAGATAATATTGACTAGTTGTTAAAGCTCAGCTGTTGACAGCAGACTGGTGGAGGTTTGGCTTACAGCTCTGCTAATATTTCTGTGGTCTTTTCCAAGTCTGAGCCCTAAAACGGATGTGAGGTATAAGGGACATTCTGCTCATAAAACACTTGGTGTAGTGTTTTTGTCCTTAGCTGACATTTATTAAATATTCATAAGTTGGTTTATAGCTTATAGGCAATTCTTTTTTTTGTTTTGTTTTTTAAGATTTATCTATTTATTTATTTGAAAGTCAGGGTTACACAGAGAGAGGAGAGGCAGGGAGAGAGAGAGGTCCTCCATCCGATGGTTCACTACCTAATTGGCCGCAACAGCCGGAGCTGCGCCGATCAGGAGCCAGGAGCTTCTTCCAGGTCTCCCACATGGGTACAGGGGCCCAAGGACTCGGGCCTTCTTCTGCTTTCCCAGACTATAGCAGAGAGCTGGATGGGAAGTGGAGCAGCTGGGTCTTGAACCAGCACCCATATGGGATGCTGGTGCTTCAGGCCAGGCCGTTAACCTGCTGATCTTCTTCTTCTTTTTTTTTTTTTTTAAAGATCTATGTATTTATTTATTTGAGAGGCAGAGAGGGAGAGAGAAGTCTTATGTCTGCTGGTGAGACAGAGAGAGAGAGAGAGAGAGAGGTCTTACGTCTGCTGGTTCACTCCCCAATTGGCCACACAGCTGGAGCTGCACCCATCCGAAGCCAGGAACCGGGAGCTTCCTCCAGGTCTCCCGTGCAGGCACAGGGGTTCAAGGACTTGGGTCATCCTCCACTGCTTTCCTAGGCCATAGCAGAGAGCTGGATTGGAAGAGGAGCAGCCGGGATTCCAACTGGTGCCCACATGGGATGCTGGCACTGCAGGTGGCGACCCCACCCACCATGCCACAGCACTGGCCCCAGAAACCATTGATCTTAAGTATACAGCAAAGTGTTAATGTTGTATGTGCAGCAACCACACAGTTTACGGTGCAAAAATGCCTTGAACTTCGAGAGATCCCAGCCCTTTGCAGTCACTTTTCATTGTATCAGTTAACTTCTACCATAAATTATTTTTGCTCGCCTTTGAATGTCATGTAACTGCAATCATACACACTCTGTATTTGGAAAGGTGGCACCTTTTCTTCAAAAAAAATTATTTTCATTTATTTTAAAGACAGAGTTTTGAGATGTGGTTTTGGGCAGGGTGTGCATGGAGAGATCTTCCATCTACTGACTCACTCCTAGATGTCAAAAATGTCATGGTCTGGGCCAGGAGCTTTTCACGGGTCTCCCACATGGGTACAGGGGTGCAAGCACTCGGGCTATCTTCTGCTGCTTTCCCAGGTGCATTAGCAGGGAGCTGGATCCAAAGTGGAGCAGCAAGGACTTAAATCAGTGCCCATATAGGGTGCTGGCACCACAGGCAGCAGCTTAACTGTCTGCTCCTCTTCTGATCCTGCTCCTTGTTAATGACCTGGGAAAGCAGTGGAAGATGACCCAAGTGCTAGGGCTCCTCCATCCATGTGGGAGACCCCGAGGAAGCTCCTGGCTTCACATCATGCCAGCTTTTAATCATTGTGGCCATCTGGAGAGTGAACCAGCAGTTGGAAGACCTCTCTGTCTCTCCCTCTCTTTGTAACTGCCTCTCAAATAAATAAATAATCTTTAAGCAAAAAATATATAATATCTGTAATATGTATTCATGTTGTTGTACATTTGAATAGTCAATCTTTTTTATTGCTTTTATAGCATTCCCTTCTGTTAATATACTACATTTTATGTATCCATTGCTTTTTTGATGGGTTTCTTTTTGGATTTTGAATACAAGCTGTTATGAAAGTTGCTAATTTTGGGGTTGGCACTGTGGCACAGTGGGTTAAGCCTCCATCTGCGGCGCCAGCATACCATATGGGCACTGGTTCTAGTCCCAGCTGCTGCTTTTCCTATCTAGCTCTCTGCTATGGCCTGAGAAAGCAGTGGAAGATGGCCTAGGCGCTTGGACCCCTGAACCCACATGGGAGTCCCAGAAGAAGCTCCTGGCTTCATATTGGTGCAACTCTGGCCGTTGAGGCCATCTGGGGAGAGAACCAGCAGATGGAAGACCTCTCTCTCTGTCTCTACCTCTCACTGTAACTCTACTTCTCAAATAAATAAAATTAAAAAAAAAAAAGAGTTGCTATTTTCAAAACCTGTATTACACATTGCTTTACAAATTCCAAGCAGCACCCATTTGTTGATTTTCATCTACTTTCCCAAGTTCGTTGAATGATCTTGGTGAGAAGGCTTTTTCCCTCCTGAAAGCTGACCTCCAGTTGCATAGCTGCAGTTCTGCCTGTGAGGAAGCCTCAGGAAGCTTGGGTGGGAGGGAGGGGTGCGGGTATGTGTGAAGTTGGAGGTGTTCATGAAACCTGAGTGAATAAACAAAGATTCAGTCTATTCAGATAATGTGTAGGAGGAGGCAGCATTTGAGCTGAGTACAGACGATAGCTTCTCAAATCCTTGCTGAATAGCGCACGGCTTGGCCCATAGTAGGGTCTGAAATTTCTAGGTCCATTGAGTTGTCACCACGACTGAATGAGCGTTCTTTTCGCTGGCTTGGGAGAGCTGTCATTGGGAAGGCAGTAATGATGGTGGCTAACCCAGGAGACACGGTCAGAATCACTGGCATGCAATTTGAGAGTTCACCCTATTCCCATGAACAACTTTGGGCTGCTTTGTGTTAAATAAAATACTTAATTTCCTTGCCATAATTTCTTTTTGCAAAAAATGCTCCTTGTTTCATGAAAAAAAAAAAAAAACATTTTAGCTGAAGAGGATGCTCTCTCTTTCCTTGGTTATTGGTTTGATGTTGCTATAAATAACAGTGTTGGCTGTTAAGGCTTGTGTGAGAATCAAAAGTTTATGTGTAGTTTAATGTCTCAGGCAAGAATTATCATCAGGAAACCCAGCTAAGGCAGTGGTTACTGATGGCTCCAGGAGCAGTCCTGTTCCACTTGGGGAACAAATGAGTGCCAGTAAGGTAGGCACATTTGTTTGGACCTAGGGTAGCGACAGTAACTTTATTTTTGCCTTTCCTGATTCCAGGAAGTATCATCTTGTAGTGACTCAAGATAGCCTTCAAAAGGAGAAGCTGATAGGGGTGGGCATGTCTTACTCTTCTGGGAAAAAAAAAATCTTACCTGTTAAAAAATTTGTTGTAAAAATACTGATAGGTGTTGATGCAGAGTTTGGGTGGAGTTGTTTGTAAACTAAGTACTTTCCCAAGACTAAAATGATTCTACCAAGGTAACCAACCCCTTCATTCCTGTTCTTCATTCCTGTTGGCCCTTAAGAATTAGAAGGAGGTTAATCTTGTTGGTGCTGGCCTTGTGGTGCAGTGGCCAGCTCAAGTCCCAGCTGCTCCACTTTGACTCCCAATTCCCTGCTAAGGGCGCCTGGGACAGCAGCAGAAAATGACTGAAGTGCTTGGGCTCTTGCCAATTACCTGGGAGACCTGGGTAAAGATCCTGGCTCCTGACTTTGGCCTGGCCCAGCCCTGGCCTTTGTAACCATTTGGGGAATGAACCAGTGGATGGATGATCTCTGTCTCTGTCTCTCTCCCTCTCCCTCTCCCTCTCCCTCTCTTTTATATAAATCTTTTTTTTAAAAAAAATCCTGTTAAATAATTAAAAGTCCAACTCTAGGGGTTGGCACTATAGCACAGCAGTTTAGGCCTCTGCTTTGCAGGGCTGGCATCCCATATGGGTACCAATTTGTGTCCCGGCTCCTCATCTTCTGATCCAGCTCTCTGCTAATGACCTGGGAAAGCAGTGGAAGATGGTGCAAGTGCCTGGGCCCCTGCACCCACGTGGGACACTCAGAGGAAGCTCCTGGCTCTTGGCTCCTGATCAGCCCACCATTATCACCATTTGGGGAGTGAATCAGCAGATGGTAGACCTCTCTCTGTCTGTCCATCTGTCTGTAACTCTACCTCGCAAATAAATAAAATTTTTTTTAAAAAAGTCTATTGTAATTATAGGATAAAATGCTTAGCACCTTGCATCTAATATTTCAAATATCTCAGTTTCTCAGTATTTTCTATTTGGATGGAGACACCTGCAACATTGTGTAAGACACACTTTATTCAAAAGTGTATTTTGCCTGCTAACAATTTTATATGGGATTTTCCAGTTTAAAGAAAAAATTCAAATGGCCTGCCTTTTGGGGGGAAGGGACAGATATTATTGATAAGGTGGATTCAAGATGAAGCTCATCTGTCAAGAGCCAAAAACGGCAGATCATTTAAACTGTAGGAAGTGGTCTTCATGGATCCAAGTCCATGAAATAATACCTATTGAAATCAGTAGGAACTGCTGTGAAATTTCCAACAGGGTGTTATCGTTTATTTTAAAACCAAAGGCAAGGGTTTATTTTGGAATCAATTTTCAGAAAGGTGCTCTGAGTATGTGTTTCTTTTTTAAATTTTAGTCAGCCATATCTTGAGGTAGGTGTACTGTAGATAATTGAAATCTGATTCACTGAGTTGTCTATTTCATGCTTCTGGAATTTCAGAGACGCTGCCTATGGAAGCTGCAATTACTACATCACACTGCTTGACTGTTTCCATGCAGTAAAGAAGGTAAGTGCCCAGAGGTTGCTTCCAGTGTGATGGAAGTCGCACTCCTCCAGAGACCCGTGGTTAGAATTTCTTTCAGGATCTGTGTGATGTCAGATGCCCTTTGTTTCTCAGCTGGCGTTAGGACACGGTTCATTCAGAATTTCTGGGTACTTCCTGGCATGATTTGGGTCGAAAGCCACTTTGGTTCTGGATTCAGTATTGATTTTAGTGTGTTGTGATTTAAAAGAAAAACAAAAAGTTAATAGATGACTAGTCCAGGTTGCCGCTGATGTGTGTTTTTTATGGGTCTGATTACCACCATAGTACTGAGAACATAGCTGTCAAACACAGGTTTGTTTCTTCAGGCATTAAATCTCAAGCTCAACAGGATTTGAGTAGCCAATTGGTTTGTTACAACTGTTTCTAAAACCTGCCCAGTGGTTCAACTTGGACTGCTGCCCTGCACCCTGGGACCACCCTGTTTCATAACCACATTCTCCATGAACTCGTTCACTTGGGCTGTGCAGCCAGCAGGCCCAGTGCAGACCTCTCGCTCCTTCAGCTGGGCTTCTCTAAGGTCAGCGGCCATCCCTGCCAGGTGAACCCTGGGGGATGGCTGACGTGTGGGTACTCTCACCTTTACACAGAGAAGAGGAGAGCTTGGTGGAGCTTGGAAATGGTCTTCTGTAACACTGCCTAGCAGTTTCAGTTGTTCTTTATTGGCCTGGCTTGTTCTTTTAATGAGGCATTTTCCCCCGAGTGATTAACTGGTATTTGACAGGTCAAAGATTGTCCCCCACACCAAACTATATTCATTTTACTTAGGGGTCAGCAACTTTGGATTTTCAGCTGGAGCATTTTATATTTGTGACTGATTCTGAATATTCTTGCATAGTGCAACACTATCAGTGTAGTTATGTCTTCATTTTCATTCTACTTTGAATAGCATCACCTTGTGTAATTCCAAGAAGTTACCTGTGAACTACAAGTTACTGTATTATTCTGTTAGGAGCACCTCTACTCCAAATATCATGAATTGTGTCAAGCATTTTGAATTTAAGGAAATAAAGTGTGTCATGGATTTGCTCTCGAAATGATTGTGTGAACAGTTATTTTATAAAAGGAGGACTCTTCGATCTGCACTCTGGCCTTCTTGTTTTTCATTCATATTTCAGAAGTTTAAATTTTGAAAACTGGGTTTGCAAGGTTCACCCCCTTGAATAAAGACTGCCTTGTTGACCAGAATTCTGGCTTCCTCCCCCCTGGCCTCAGTGATTGTGAACCAGAACACTTCTCAGAGACTTTGACTCTTTGTCCTTGACCCAGAAGGTCTGGGTTCTGCTTGTTCCCCTCTGCACGCTCTGTTCCTGCATCTCAGTGAGGCTCTTGAAAAACACAAATTTTATTTTCTTGTGGAAAGGGTACTTTTTTCACCCTCAAATTTGCATTTTAGGATTGTTGTCTGGGCTATAAAAGTGTCAGGAACAATGATCTCGTAATTCAAGTATTAAAAAGGTACATATTTATGAAGTGGGCTTTGTTTGGAATCAGCTAGCCCATGGTTTTGTTCCTCTTTATTACTTATTTAGAGACCATTGTGTTGTGCATCGTACTTGAGTCTTAAACTTCTGAATCTTCAGCCAAGGGTGGGTGGTGATGTAGTACTGTAGGATTACTTTGGAGGCATGATGAATTAACTAGGTATGGATAAGAGGACTTCGGAGTTCAGATTAAAAATCAAGTCTCATGAAATACTGTTAGACCTGATTTCCAGATAATGAAGCACCTAAAAGGTACAGTCTACTTCCTTTGAGACTATTTTAGTGTAAAGTAATTTAAATATAGACATATTTTTCTAGAGTGTTAAAATATGGCTTATTCCCGTCTTTGTTCTTAATAGCTTTCTTTTGGATTTTAGGCAATGCAGTATGGCTTCCTTGATTTCAACACATTTAACCTTGATGAATATGAGCACTATGAAGTAAGTCTTCCAGAATAAAGGTTCGAACTCTTTCCCCCCTAACTTTGAGGTGTGATTGGCAGATAGCTATTGTGTATATCTAAGGGAGTACAGACTAATGCTTTGATACACATGTAATTGTGGAATTACTACCAGTCAAGCTGATTAAGGTGCCTGTCACCCCACATGGTCACCTTTTTGGGCCTGTATCAAGAACACTGAAGATCTACTCAGTAGATTTCTCATACACACTGTCTACATCAGTCCTCCGTACCTACTAATCTTAGAACTCAGAGTCTGTCCTCACTGACCAGAATTCCTCTTTCTCTTCCCATTTTAACGATTTTCTTCATTCACTGTACTTATGGAAGTAATATCCTTACCTTTCAAAGACAGAAATGTCAAACAGTTGAGACGTGTGTAGGGTAAAAAAGTTCAGTCTTCATTTCATTTCCCTGTTTCAGCAGTCCCAGCACTTTGTGGTGATTCCTGCATTTGATGCGTGGTAAATGAGTGTGCACCGTATATTTTTCCTGTTGGTTTTGTCTGTTGGTATTTATTGATTTCCACAAGGTGGTTGAGTTTGTAAATTTTTTAGCATAGGGATAGATGGCATTTAGTACATCAGTAGTTGTGTTGTGTTTTGTTTTAAGATTATTTATTGGAGAAGCTGAGGCAAGAGAGAGAAGAGAGAGGTCTTCCAGCTGCTGGTTTACTCCGCAGATGGCCGCAATGGCCAGATCTGGGCCGATCCAAAGCCAGGAGCATTCTCTGGGGTCTACCACGCAGGTGTAGGGGCCCAAGGACTGGAGCTGTTTTCTACTGCTTTCCCAGGCCACAGCAGAGAGCTGGATTGCAAGTGGAGCAGCCAAAGCTGAACCAGTACTGCTGTGTGAAGCCAGCACTGCAGGTAGTGGCTTTACCTGCCACGCCACAGCACTGGCCCCATCAGTAGTTGTTAAATCATCTTGTTAATTACCTTGGGGAACTATCATATCCTTTTGGGGCCAGTTCTGTGGCATAGTGGGCTAAGCTTCCGCCTGTGGCACTGGCATCCCATATAGGCACTGCTGCTGCTCTTCCAATCCAGCTCTCTGTTATGGCCTGGGAAAGCAGTGGAAGATGGCTCAAGTGTTTGGGCCCCTGCATCCATATGGGAGACCTGGAAGAAGCTCTTGCCTTTAGATCAGCCCAGCTCCAGCCATTGTGGCTATTTGGGGAGTAAACCAGCATATGAAAGACTCTCTCTGTCTGTCCCTCTCTCTGTAACTCTGCCTTTCAAATAAATAAAATCTTTAAAAAAAAATCCTAGTTTTATGTTATAAAAGTAAACACAAATGGCTTAAATTTAAAAAGGAAACTTACTGGACTTCATAAATGAAAAGCCCTGGGGCAGGTGTGACTTCCAGCATGACCACATTCAGGTGCCCAACCACTTAGAGGACCTGGACTGGAGCCAACGTTGGTTCTAGGCTAGTCCCCTCCATGGTGATCAGGATGGCTACCAACAGCTTTGATTTATCAGAAAAGAATATTCTTAGCTCCTGCAGAAGACCCACAAAAGCCTCTTACGGCCTGCAGTAGGAGACCCTGCCAGTCCCTGAACCAGCTTGTGTTCTGTGCCCTGGGGGGCTGTGGAATACTTTGTGAGTCTTCGTTTTCTGGCCATCTGAGGAGCCAGGATCCCGGGGTCAGCCCTGTCCATCCACTGAGAGAGTTCAGGCCTTTAAAACCACGGGTGTCTTTCTAATACAGTATGTTTGTGAAAAAGAAGATACTTGATTCTGTGTTCTATGCTCCACATAGATAATGACTTAGGTACTATGTTAATGGCATTTTTCAGGCACAGATAGTTTTATTTATTTATTCATTCATTTATTTCTTTGAAAGAGTTACACAGAGAGAGGGAAAGACTAAGAGAGAAAGAGAAGGATCTTCCACCTGCTGGTTCTCTCCCCAAGTGACTGCGATGGCTGGACCTTGGCCAGGTCGAAGCCTAGATAGAACTTCATCTGGTTAAGCCGGCGCCGTGGCTCAATAGGCTAATCCTCCACCTTGCGGCGCCGGCACACCGGGTTCTAGTCCCGGTTGGGGCACCGGATTCTGTCCCGGTTGCCCCTCTTCCAGGCCAGCTCTCTGCTATGGCCAGGGAGTGCAGTGGAGGATGGCCCAGGTGCTTGGGCCCTGCACCCCATGGGAGACCAGGAAAAGCACCTGGCTCCTGGCTCCTGCCATCGGATCAGCGCGGTGCGCCGGCTGCAGCGGCGGCCATTGGAGGGTGAACCAACAGCAAAGGAAGACCTTTCTCTCTCTGTCTCTCTCTCTCACTGTCCACTCTGCCTGTCAAAAAAAAAAAAAAAAAAGAACTTCATCTGGGTACCCTACTTCTGTGGGTAGCAGGGGTCAAGCACTTGGGCCATCTTTTGCTACCAAATAACTTCTTTTGCCCTTGTGTTTTGAAAATAAAGATTTGAAGTAAAATATACTTTCTCATGTAGGTAAGCAAAACTACTGAGAACACTAATTGGCGTTTGTTCTCTGTGGCAGAAGGGGTGCCTTTTGGTGCTAAGGAGTAATACAGGAACTGGATTGCTTCCCTTTCACTGCTGTGAAAAATGGGGGCACTGAGGATGGGGGAGGAGCAAGGACACCACTCTATTTTTTTTTTAACCTTTACTGAAAGGGCATTGAGACACAGAGGTAGGGTAGGCACAGACCACTGGTCTATTTTAAAATTTGAAATTAGTATATTTCATTGATTACAGAATGTCCATTTTTTTCCTATCTTATCTGAATTTGGTTTTGGGTTCCCTGCTTAGACCGACCATGTAGATGTTCATAGACTATTTATTTCTTACTCGTTTTGAATATACATCTAAGTACCTCAATGCCAAGCTGATCTGTCTGCCCCTCACACACTGGTTGTCTCTTCCTCCACCATCAAGTATGTTCTGTTTCCTTATCCATTTCGTTAAGAGATGTTTCTCTTATTAGGGCTTTTGTAGTGGTAACTCAATCCAAATGACTGAGTTAGCGTAACAGGAAGTAACGTGTTTTACATATCAGTTTACACTAATTTTCTTTGTGGTGACATACTCTGTTCTCAGTATACTTGTAATTTTTAACTTCCTGGTTGGTTTACTGAAATTTGATTGCTTTCTTATTAAATAGAAAAATGAAGGAAAGGTGTATTGAAAAAACAGAAACAAATGGTAAGGTTTTTCTCCTTATTTAAGGAATCAGTAAATTTAGGAAAAGAGGGAAGTTTTACAAGTCCCTCTTAAGGAAAGTACAACGGCAGATGAGAATTTATTCAGGTAATCAAATGACTTTGGATCAAAAGCCAAGTACATACTGTGTTTTGGATGGCAGCAGTTAGCTCTATTTTCCAAGGTCTGACTACCCTAGCAAAGAAACACTATTCAGTTACCTAACTGTTCCCTGGGAATACACAGAGCAGGGTGAATTTTAGATTCCCGTCTCATGGTTGTTTATAAACAGCCTTCTGCTAAGACAAATGGTTTCAAAGACCTTCAGAGACTGAGTATTGAGAAAGGAGGTGGGGGAGAAGGTTGCCTCTAAAAATGAATTGTGCTGGTTTTCTCTCTGCAGAAAGCAGAAAATGGAGACTTTAATTGGATAATACCAGACCGATTTATTGCCTTCTGTGGACCTCACGCAAGATCCAGGCTTGAAAGTGGTAGGAAAAACTGTGTTGAGTCTTCTTATTGAAAGTGTCCATTCTGTATTTTTCTTTAGAAAGAGAGTTAGAACGAACTTGATGAAGTATTAACTATTTAAATATCCTTGATCATTTTTGTTTACCATTCATCCTGGATTTTAACTTTTTTTGTTTTTTTATGTTTTTTTTAAGCAGTTACCATCAAATTGGTTTTCAGTCCCCACTCTGATGTTTCCGCCCAATTATAGGTATAACTGTTACTTGTTGTTTTCTTTATGCGTTTTACAAGTGGTGCATTTCTTTATACAGGTTACCACCAACATTCTCCTGAGACTTACATTCCCTATTTCAAGAATCACAATGTCACTACCATTATTCGCCTGAATAAAAAGATGTACGATGCTAAGCGCTTTACAGATGCCGGGTTCGATCACCATGACCTTTTCTTTGCGGATGGCAGCACCCCTACCGACACCATTGTCAAAGAATTTCTGGATATTTGTGAAAATGCCGAGGGCGCCATTGCAGTTCATTGTAAAGGTATGTTTCTAGTGTTGGTTAAAAAATGGTGGACATGTGGAATGCAGGTATAGAAACAAATTGTTTCACCAGGACGCTTGGAACTGCCTTTACTTTTAAACGAATGTTTTTAAAAACCTGAATTTCATGTGAAAAGTGTAGTATGTTGAGTTTTTTCATAAGTAACCATAGTATAAAGGCTTCACGTTGAAATGCATTCACTCATTCATCAGCTGTCTCTTGGGCAGCCACTGTATGATCATTTCTAGAAAGCACCAGAGAGTTGAGCAGACTAAAAATTATCTCTGTGGAGACTGTTTTCTAATGAGTTTCTGTTTGCAGCAGTTACAACAGATTACTTAATATTTTATTAACTAATTCATATTTTATCAGTGAATCACTATGCAGTAATACTGTAGGAATGCACTTGGATTGATGTAGTTTTTCTCCTCTTGTTACATAGTTAATAAAGAAAAGAAATAGGGCTGGTATTGTGGTATAGCGGGTATAGCTGCCAAGCATGATGCTGGCATCCCATTTGGACCCTAATTTGTGTCCCAGCTGTTCCACTTTCAATCCTGCTCCCTGCTAATTACCTGGGAAAAGCAGTGGAAGATGGCCCACGTGTTTGGGCCCCTGCTACCTATGCGGGAGACCTGGAAGAAGCTCCTGGCTCCTGGCTTTGGCCTGGCCCAGTCCTGGCCATTGTGGGTATCTGAGGAGTGAACCAATGGATGGTCTCTCCCTCTCTGTCTGTAACTCTGACTTTCATATAAATAAATAAATCTTAAAAGAGAGAGAAATATATTATTGTTAAGAAAAATTTAACATTGAAAAAACAAAGACAGTGAATTATGGGGAATGATGAGACTGATTTCCAGAGTTTGAACTATATTTGTAATTCCAAATATAACTATAGTTAAAATATTTGGTTTTCAGTGAAAAAAACCACAGGACATACAAAGAATCAGGAAAGAGCCTATTTAATGAGGGGGTGGGAAATAGATCAACAGAAATTGTTTCTGTGAAGAACCAGATGTTTTCTACTTACTAGAGAAATATTTTTTTTAATATTTATTTATTTATTTGAGAGGTTGAGTTACAGACAGGGAGAAACAGAGACAAAGGTCTTCCTTCCATTGGTTCACTCCCCAAATGGCCACAACGGCTGGAGCTACGCCGATCCGAAACAGGAGCCAGGTGCTTCCTCCTGGTCTCCCATGTGGGTGCAGGGGCCCAAGCATTTGGGTCATCTTACACTGTTTTCCCAGGCCACAGCAGAGAGCTGGACTGGAAGAGGACCAGTATCCATATGGGATGCCGGCACCGCAGGCAAACAGTTAACCTACTGCACCACAGCGCCGGCCCCCAGACAAATACTTAATTTTTAGAAAGGGTCTTTTATTTTGTATATTTATTTTTACATTTGTTGGTAAGGCAGAGAGACAGTTAGAGACAGAGAGATCTTCTCCATCTGGTTCATTCCCTGAATTCCCTTAATAGCCAGGATGAAGCCAGGAGCCCAGTGCTCAATCCAGGTCTCCCCAGTGTGAATGGCAGAGACCCAGGTACTTAAGCCATTGCCACTGCCTCCCAGGATACAAATTAGCAGGAACCTGGAATCCAGAGTGGAGCTAGGACTCAAGTTGATGGACATGTTGAATGAACAAAATGAAAATAGCAATTGAAAGAAAACACAAAAGTGAATGAAAAATAAATTCTGAAAATTAAGTAAGTGAAACAAAAATTCGTTGAAGGAATTCCAGAGCAGATTTGAAGATACAGAAGAATCAACAGAAGTGATGATAATGCTATTAAAAATTATCAGCTCTGAGATTCAAGTGAAATGAAGTGAACTGTGCAGCATCTAAGGAATCTCTAAGATAAAGCCAAGGAGACCGACATAAGGATAATGGGAGTCCCAGAAAGAGAAGAGAGAGAAGGCAGCAGAGAGGTTACTTGACTGAAAACTTCTGAAACTCGATGACAGTCATGGATGTAAATGTCTAAGAAGGTCGGCAAGCTAAGCAGGATAAACTCAGAGACCTACAGGGAGTTACATTATAATCAGACTGTCCAAAGGCAGACACAATTTAGAAAGCTGCAATATACAAGTAACTTAGAGTATACAAGGGATAACTACTAAACTTACGGGCAGATTTTTTAAATCAGCAACTATGAGAGCCAGAGGAGAGGTACCTGATATATTCAAACAGTTGAATTATAAAAACACCTTCCAGCATAGTAGGCTAGGCCTCCACCTGTGGCACTGGCGTCCCATATGGGACGCCGTATGGTTCTTGTCCTGGCTGCTCCTCTTCTGATCCAGTTCTCTGCTTATGGCCTGGGAAAGCAGTGGAAGATTGCCCAGGAGCTTGAGCCCCTGCACCTGCATGGGAGACCCGGGAGAAGCTCCTGGCTCCTAGTTTTGGATTGGCCCAGCTCCGGCTGTTGGAGCCATTTGAGAAGTGAGCCAGCAGGTGAAAAACCTTTCTTTCTCTCTCTCTCCCTTTCTCTGTCTGTGCCTCTGCCTCTCAAATAAACAAAAACGCTTTCCAACCAATAATCCTGCATGTAGAAAAACTCCTTCAAAAATAAAGATGAAACTAAGACAGTTCCAGGTAATCAAACACTGAGGCAATGTGTTACCACTAGGCTTATCCTGCAAGAAATGCCTCACGTTGAAGTGGAAAGAAAGGACCTTGCATAGTAACTAGCAGAAATGAAGATCATGAGGAGAGACAAGACAGCTAAAGGCTGAGACCACTGGAATGTACGATAGCGTGTGGTGCGTTCCTGTAAATTCTAAAACGGAGAGTGGAAATACACTGGAAAGGTTAACAGGAGTCACTGATTGGTTTTTCAAGTTAATTAACAAAATTGACGACCATTTTAGCTAGATTGATGTAAAGAGTCATATTACTAGGCCGGCACCCTGGGTTCTAGTCCCAGTCGGGGCGCCGGATTATGTCCCGGTTGCTCCTCTTCCAGGCCAGCTCTCTGCTGTGGCCCGGGAGTGCAGTGGAGGATGGCCCAAGTGCTTGGGCCCTGCACCCCATGGGAGACCAGGAGAAGCACCTGGCTCCTGGCTTCAGTGCGGTGCGCCGGCTGCAGCGGCCATGGTGGGGTGAACCAACGTCAAAGGAAGACCTTTCTCTCTGTCTCTTTCTCACTGTCCACTCTGCCTGTCAAAAAAAAAAAAAAGTCATAGTACTAAAATTTAAAAAGGGAAAAAGTTGTTACTACTGATTCTACAGACATGGAAAGGACAGTAGAAGCCTGAAAGCAAATTTAGGACACAATCTGGGTGGTATAGATGAAGTGGACAAATTCCTAGAAACACAAAACCTGCCAAGACTGAACCACAGAGAAATAGAAAATGGGACTCGCTCTTCAACTAGTTAGGAGATGGAGTCATGAGTCATGAGTGAATCCAAAACCTCCAAACCTGATGGCACCACAGGGAATGCTACCAAACACTCGAAGAAGCAACATCACTTCTTTGCGGACTTTTCCCCTAAATTGGAAGAGAACACTTAACTCCCTCGTTGTATGAGGCCAGCACTGGCAGAGGAGACCTGGAAGAAGCTCCTGGCTCCTGGCTTCAGACTGGCTCAGCTCTGGCTGAGGTGGCCATCTGGGGAGTGAACCAGGGGATGCAAGACCTCTCTCTCTCTGTCTCTACCTCTCTCTGTAACTCTTTCAAATAAATAAAATAAACCTTAAAAAAAAAAAAAAGGAAGGAAACCTTTTCGTCTAAGAACAGGCAGCAGGCAAGAACGCCTAGTGCTGTGACCTTTGTTCAGCATAGAATTAGAAGTTCTAGGGGCCAGTTTTGTGGCACAGTGGGTTAGCCACCACTTGCAGCCCCATCATCCCCTGTCAGAGTGCTGCTGTGGGTCTGGACTGCTCTTATTCCAATCCAGCTTCCTTCTAGTGTGCCTGGGAAAGCAGCAGATGATGACCTAAGTACCTTGTCTTTAGTTCCCATATGGGAGACCTAGCGTTTTGTGTAATAGAAAAATTCATCCCATAATTCACGTGGAATCTCATCGTATGCTGAATAACCAAAACAATCTTGAAAAAGAACAAGGTTGGAAGTCTCGTACTTCCCAATTTCAAAATTTAGAACAAAGCTACCTCAATCAAAGATAGATAAATAGATCAGTGGTGCTTAGAATAGATCCCAGAAAGAAGTCCTCATGTATATGGTCACATGGTTTTCAATGATGGTGCCAAATTCATTCAATGGGAAAGAACAGTCTTTCAAAAAATACTGCTGGGAAAACTGGATATCTACATGAAAAAGAATGAAATTGAACCCTTATGTAACACAGAGTACAAAAATTAATTCAAAATGGGCCAGAGATCAGAATGTCAGACCTGAAATCACAAAGCTCTTAGGACACATTATTGAAAAGCTTCAAGACATTTTATTTGGCAATGATTTTTGGATAGACACAAAAGGCACAGACAATAATATAAGACAAACTGTATTATAATTTCAAGCTTTTTTACATGAAAAGACACAAACAGAATAAAAAGACAAACCATGGAATGGGAGAAAGCATTTGCAAATCATGTATCTGGTAAGATAGTAACACCTGGAATATTTGGTTAGAACACCTACCATTCAACAACAGAAAATAATCCAATTCAGAAATGGAAACATTCCTCAGTAAATATCCTCTGAAAAAGGTGCTCAAGTGGCATGGCCGGTAACCCTGTGAGAAATTGCTCTGCATCACCAGTATCTGGAGAAAAGCAAATCACAGCCTCAGTGAACTGCCACTCATACTCACTAGGATGGCTATTGTCTAAAACAAAACAGAAAGCAAGTACTAGCCCGGATGTGCAGAAATTGAAACCCTTGTCTGCGCTGGTGGGAATGTAAGAAGATGCATGTGAGTGTCTCAAAAAACTAAAAATAGAACTATCCCATGATCCAGTAATCCCTCTTCTGGGTTTATCTCCAAAGGAATTAGCAACAGGGATATGAACAGATATTTGTACATCGTATT